AAATAATTGGATGAGCGACTATTTGGGTTAATCATGTTAACCATGAAATCACTTGAGTATAAGGATGTTCAAGGAGTTTGGATGATTTTGAGCTATTTACTCAATATGTTAAGATTTTGATTGATTTTCTAAATTTATTCTCACATCGTATCAGAGTTAAACTTTAGTGCAATCATTTTTCTAGAATTCTTAACGCTTTGGACTTATCTTTTTCAATTTAGCCTGTTTGGCCAAGTTTTTTCTTGGCTAAAAGTGTTATTTTTAAAAGTATTTTTTAAAAAAAATTAAGGTGTTTGTCCAACCTTTTAGAAGGGAAAAAAGTGCTTTTGAGTAGAAGCAGAAGCAGTTTTTAAGAAGAATAAAAAAGTAGTTTCTTCCTATAAAAAACAACAACAACTACTACCCAGTAAAATCCCACATAGTGGGGTCTGAGGAGGGTAATGTGTACGCAGACCTTACCCCTGCCCCGATAGGGGCCGAGAGGCTGTTTCCGATAGACCCTCGGCTCAGAAAGACGAAAATAAAGTAAAAAAAACAAGAGGAGAGAATTCATTAGTAACTCCAATATAAACCGTAATAGTAACATACACATAAAAACCGAAAGATGAATGACATGCAATAACAGTAACCATAATCTAAGGCCTGGGGCTAAGACAAACAACAAGAATAGTGTGGGTCCAACATAAACTGCAAGCCATCTAAGACCAACCCTAATCCAACCCTGCCTCACCCCTGAATGAAGTAAGGAAAGCTTTACTACCCCTATCCTACAACCCTAATGATTGACCTCCAGGTCTTCCTATCAAGGGCCATGTCCTCGGAAATGTGCAGTCATGCCATGTCCTACCTGATCACCTCTCCCCAATACTTCTTAGGTCTCCCTCAACCTCTTCTCTTACTCACCATAGCCAACTGCTAACACCTCCTCACCGGTGCATCGAGGCTTCTCCTCTACACGTGCCCGAACCATCTAAGCCTCGCTTCCCGCATCTTATCATCCATAGGGGCGACGCCCACCTTCTTCCAAATATCTTCATTCCTAATCTTGTCTATCCTAGTATGCCCACATATCCACCTCAACATCCGCATCTCTGCTACTTTTATCTTCTGGATATGGGAGTTCTTAACTGGCCAACACTCTGCCCCATACAACATGGCCGGTCTAACTACAACTCTATAATACTTACCTTTGAGTATTGGTGGCACTTTCTTGTCACACAAAACTCTATATGCAAGCCTCCATTTCATCCAACCTGCCCCTATGCAGTGAGTGACGTCCTCGTCGATCTCTCCGTCCCCCTGAATCATCGACCCAAGGTACTTGAAGCTTCTCTCTTGGGGATGACCTGTGGCCCAAGCCTCACATCCCCGCCTACATCCCTCGACTCAGCGCTAAACTTGCATTCCAGATACTCTGTCTTAGACCTGCTCAATTTGAAACCCTTAGACTCGAGAGTCTGTCTCCAAACCTCCAATCTCTCGTTAACACCGGCCCTCGTCTCGTCAATTAGAACTATGTCGTCATCAAATAACATACACCATGGTACCTCCCCTTGAATATGGTGTGTCAAAGCATCCATCACCAAGGCAAATAAGAACGGGCTAAGCGCTGAGCCTTGGTGTAATCCCATAACAACCGGGAAATGCTCTGAGTCGCCTCCCACCGCCCTAACCTTAGTCTTAGCTCCATCATACATATCCTTGATCGCTCATATGTAGGCTATGAGCACGCCCTTCGCCTCAAGACATCTCCAGAGCACCTCCCTAGGAACCTTATCATGCGCTTTCTTCAAGTCAATAAACACCATGTGCAGATCCTTCTTCTTATCCTTGTACTGTTCCACCAACCTCCTAATAAGTTGGATAACTTCCGTAGTGGAGCGGCCCGGCATGAACCCAAACTGATTATCGGATATAGACGTCGTCTTCCTTACCCTCACCTCCACCACCCTCTCCTAGACTTTCATGGTATGGCTAAGTAACTTGATACCCCTATAATTGTTACAACACTGGATATCACCTTTGTTCTTATACAACGGTACCACTGTACTCGACCTCCATTCCTCCGGGATCCTCTTCGTCCTAAAAATTACATTGAACAACCCAGTCAGCCATTCCAATCCTGCTCTACCCATACACTTTCAAAACTCAACCGGAATTTCATCTGGCCCGATCGCTCTACCCCTACTCATCTTACGCAACGCCCCACGGCCTCCTCCACCTTAATGTGCCTACAATACCTAAAATCTTGGGGACTCTTCGAATGCCCCAAGTCCCCTAGCTTTATATCTCGGTCCCCCTCCTCATTCAGAAGACCGTAAAAGTACGTCTGCCATCTCTGCTTAATCTGGGACTTTCCCATCAATACTCTACCATCCTCGTCTTTGATGCACCTTACTTGATCCAGATCTCGGGCCTTCCTCTCCCTCGCTTTAACCAGCCAAAACAACTTCCTTTCCCCGCCTTTCTCACCTAATTCCTCGTATAGACGGCTAAACGTTGCATTCTTAGCCTCCGTGACTGCCAGCTTTGCCTCCTTCCTAGCCACTTTGTACCTCTCTCTATTCGCATTCCTCTCCTCCTCGCTTGTGCTCCCTGCTAACTTCGTGTACGCTACCTTTTTCGCCTCCACTTTACCTTGGACTGTGTCATTCCACCACCAGTCTCCTTGGTGCCTGCCAGAAAAACCCTTCGATACACCTAGCACCTCTCTCGCCGCCTCCCTCACATAGTTCATCGTCGTCGACCACATAGTGCTCGCGTCTCCACTACTCCTCCAAGCTCCCATAGCAGATAACCTACCCTCCAACTCCCGGGCTTTATCCTTGGTTTTGAGAAAAATACACTTATAAATACTTTTTACAAGTTTGGTCAAATACTAGGTGTTGCTCAAAAGTGCTTTTCAAATCAACTAGGCAAACACAAACTAATTTTCACGAAAAATTAAAAAACACTTTTGAAAAAAACACTTCTCGCAATAAGAACATTTTACAAGCTTGGCCACATAAGCTACAGGTCCACCAAGTTGCACTAGTTTTTCTCTCTCTCAATTCAAACAAACAAGCAACTAATAAAAGAAATATTAATCACCGTTTAACCCGATCATATATTAGTACATTCATTATGCACAATATCTAAAGGGAACAAAATAAAAGAAATATACATCGTGATCACATATTAGATCAATTGTATTCTTGTTGGCATAAACGCAAATTCACTTTTTTTAGGGCAAAAGGAAGCCAATTATAAGTTAGTGGGCATTTGGACATAAGAATTGTAAAATTCCAAAATATGGTAAAAAAAAAATTAATGAAAATGGTATTTGAAATTTAGAATTGTGTTTGGACATGAATATTATTTTGGGTTGTTTTTGAAGTTTTGTGAATGATTTGAGTGAAAATTTCGAAAAATGGCTTTTTGGAGCTTTTAAAATTTTCGAAAATTTTCAAAATGCATCTTCAAGTAAAAATTAAAAATTTTATGAACAAACGCTAATTTTTGAAAAAAAGTGAATTTTTTTTGGAAAAAAGGAAAAAATTTCTTATGTCCAAACGAGCTATTATTTTCTTCTTTTAGTGACATGAATTACAACAATAACGACCCAGTAAAATTCCACTAACGGGGAAGAATTACAACATGACTTTGAGAAAGAAGTGTCTTTTTGTTGTGCGGTTATATTATTAAGATGTGAAAAGGGAATGACTATTAGTCGAGAGTGTCAGAAAAGTAATTCAAAGTTGTAGTAGGAAACCTTAATTTATTTATTTTTGTCATCAAACGAAATTAGGATTTGGTTTACTTAATTTATGTCTAAATAGGATTTGTAGTTAGAATAACTATAGGAATAAGCTTTCCTGTTTCTAGTTGAAATAGGTTTCATACTATTATAAATATGGGGTATTGATAGTTTATTTTATGTGTGGAGATTTGTGAGAATTGTAGAGAGCTTTCATAGAGAGTTATAATAAAATAGTATTTTTTCCTTCATATTGGTATCAGAGCTTCTACTATCTTGGGAGAGAATCAAGTAGCTTCCGTTGCCTGCCGGCGGTGCTAGCCAATGTGTGCCGCCCGTCTGGCCAAAAAATATGTTGGCAAAATCATAGATAATTGTCAACAGAATTAGACTATTCAAGGAAAAGTTTCAAGAGAGATTCAAAAAAAAAAAAAATTAAAGAGGTGCAAACAAATATAGTAGAAAATAAAGAAATTCTTCTCTAAAAGTTGGAGAGCTTTTAAAAAGTTGGTTGTTGATTATGTGTGTTAACCAAATTGGGTGTTGGTGACAAAGTGCATCAACGTGTATTGAAGACAGGTGCTTCAACAAAATTGGGTGTTGGTGACAAAGTCCATCAACGGTTGGTGACAAAGTGCATCACATGAGTTGGAAACAGGAGCTTCAACAAAATTAGGTGTTGGTGACAAAGTGCATCAATGGTTGGTGACAAAGTGCATCAACGGGAGTTGAAGACAGGTGTTTCAATAAAATCGGATGTTAGTGACAAAGTGCATCAACGTGAGTTGGAGACACGTGCTTCAATAAATCGAGGGATGAAGACATGTACTTTCATCAAAATTGAGAGTTGGAGAAAAGTGCTCCAACATAACTATACAACGACAAGTCAGACATATACAACTTTGAATTGCGGGAGAATGTTGAAAAACTAATTCAAAGTAGTAGTAGGAAACCTTAGTTATTTAGGATTTGGTTTATTTAATTTATATCTAAATAGAATTTGTAGTTAGAATAAATATAGGAATAAGCTTTCCTGTTTCTAGTTGAAATAGGTTTCATACTATTATAAATAGGGGCATTGATAACTTATTTTATGTGTGGAGATTTGTGAGAATTGTAGAGAGCTTTATAATAAAATATTTTTTCCTTCAGAGAGAAATTCAAGAATGTCAAAAAGACAAAACTAAAAAATATCTAGTTTCAAAAAAAAAAATATATTGGGGAGAAAAAAAGATGGAAAATGTGGATATTTGGAACTAGTGAAGGAAGTGAGAGCCAACTAAAAGAAAAGGCGATGGGAAACCAGTGGCTCAGGTCTGAGAAGACCTGTATATGCGCGCATCAAATTCCAAGTCTTTCTCTTGCATCCACAAAACCTTTTGGCTATGGGTTTTAGGCTGCACCTCAAATGGGGTTTCTCTGTCCAACCCCCTTTCTCCTCCAACTCATCAGCATGGCCTTCTTCACATTCTTGTGAGTAACTCTCAATTACTTGAATCCCCATTTAGCACTCTTCTTTCTTTTATTTGAATTGCTTGCTTTGAGTACATCAATTTATGTGCTAAAGATTGTAAATAGCCTTTTTTATTAAATCAATTTCTGCTTGCTTTGAGGCAAAAGGCCCCTAGGAAGAAGTGGAAATGTGTTGATTGTTTAATCCATTACTCAGAAGTATCTTCATGCCCATGTCTTGTTTCATAATGATCAACAACTGTGTATACTAATACTTTGGGATTTAGTGTCTTTAGTTCAGTTGATCCTGTACCTCTGTGTTTTAATCACACACATTAGCTTATTAACAAAAATGTCTGACTTGCATATTTATGATAAGATCTTAGATTAGAATAGTGGAAGATGTTTCCTCTCTGTACCCTCTCCCTTCCACGTGGGAGGTGGATCCAAGATGCTTAAATCAGTACTATTAAGTGACAACTACTGCGAACATACAACATTCACTAAGCCCGGAAAGGAAGGTTGCGATAGGCTACTAGCCAGTGTAAAACTAGCCAATTTCATGATTAATCCTCACAATTAATGTGAACATAGTGTATGTATATTAGTTGAAATTATTCAACTTTGTATATAGGTCAAGCTGAATGCAGTAGGTGGCTCGACCCACTGCCCATAAACTACATTTATCTGTGCTCCATCCACTTAATTCCAAAAGGGCGTAAGAGGGTTCTCCTTTTAATCTAATGGAATTCTGAACATGTTATCATTCTAACCAGTAAGAGATGAATTACTTAAAAAGTAATACTCATAAAGGGTATTTTGTCATGTATATGTTCTTATGCAAGTATTGCTAATCTATGTTACTCGGACTCTTCAAAAATGTTGTTGGGTGCGTGCCGGATTCTCCAAAATTTAGTGCATTTTTGGAGGATCCGACACGGGTGCGGGATCTCTTTTGGAGAGTCCGAGCAACATAGTTGCTAATACGCGTATGATATTACTAATAAAAAGAAAAGGCAACCGGACACCGGATTATTAAGAATTTAATGTCACAGATTATTTCAAACAGTTTAGGTTACTGTACAGGCCTTAGTTCAGACTGTGTTACCATAATCGAATTATACCCCAATTCTGTTAGCGTGCTGTTGCTTTATGATTCTTATCTGCTGCTTCAACGTTACTTTGTGGGAAAGCTGTTACGTGCAAGGTGCAACCAATAAAAGTTTCTTTCCTCTACTGAAATGTTCAACATAACGTATAATGAAGTTCCACTCTAGTTTCTATTCTTTTCTGATTGAATGATGAATGCTAGTGGATGCTACTGGATCCTTTGTCATTGCAATAGTGTAGTATGTGACAAACAAACCATATTATATAAATGAATCCAATTATATGGGAAACTTGAGCAATTTGGGACTGTTCCTACCAGTTCTGATGCATATTTCTTAACTTCGAGAGAATACAGAAAAAATCCTTACTTCACTTGAAATTTATTGAGAAATACTGTAGGTGCATCAGATTACCTTATGTTTTATTGTAATTGGATATAATCGAAAAAATCTTGTCTCTGGCAATATTGATCTGTAGAGATAATCAATTAAACAATTTGATCTTCTCGTCCTTTTAACATCTCATGTTCAAACCAAAAACAGTTGTCCTTATCAGCGCAAATAACTTATACGTTCCGGGAATCAACAATCCTTTCATCCTGGTTCATCGTTAATTATCAGAGATTTGTCAGATAGTACAATATGAAAACTTGTGATTCTTTTACATGCTCAAGTAATTTTGGATTTTGTTTCCGCTTGAAACGAGGAGATGCAGATACAGTCTTGAAGAAATGTAGCAATTCAATGATGTAACTTTATGAGATGTTTCTTCAATCTGGTCTGACATGCCTTTGAACTAAATAGATCCGAACTTGTCATTTAATTATATATACTTTATCTGCATCTTTGGTTGGAAAATCTAATCGTTTGTAATGGATCTAAGCCAAACCATTGGTATAATGGCTCCTTAATGATAAGCAGAGCTAGTTAGTCAAGTCACTTTTCATTGACGGAAGAACCCACACAGGGACTTTTTATTGATTACAACTCATCTTCATATACAGTCAAAGGAAAGGAGGCTTTATACGATCCAGCTCGGTCTCTCAAACCTTTTATCAACGGGGACTGTGAACCTTCACATAGTGATCCTTTCAGAGTGCGGACTTGTTTATCTGACCCCCAACTGTGGACGAGTGATATATCAGTAACTACAGAAATAAAGGTTTGTTCTTCCCTTGTTAGAACTAAAGCCTGTCTTAAGGGAGTATCTTTTTTGCCTTTAGTCTGTTTTCTAAATTGCATGCCATTGCTTACTTGTGCTCTCTCTCACCAGACACGAATCGGCAGAGGATCCCCTAGCAATATATATGGAGATATTGGCAGTGATAAGACTGGGATATCACCTGATGGGGAAAAACCATCATATTTAAGCACAACCAGAGCCCCTCATTTTAGTTTACTAATGAAAAATATTGATTTGCTGGAAAACATGTTTGCTGATTCAGAGATGTCAAGATTAGAAAACGATATTCTGGTGCAACTAGAAAAGCTTGGAGCTTTAGAATTCTTTCATAGTCGTCTCTCAAGAACACTTCATTCTACTTCTCCTGAAGTGCTTGACGTGCCAAGGGAGCTTGTTGAAGAAATTGAAAAAGATGACCTTGTTGGAAATGGAATAGATAAGGTAGTCGTACGTTCTAGAAAAAAGCAAGAGCGGAATTCAAGGAGAAACAGAGCATCCGGAATTGCTAATGACATTATTACAGTGCATCCACATACCAAAAACATCCAGGAGGATATGCAACAGCCAAAGTTTTATTCTGGGAAAAGAACACATGCTTCTAGAAATAAAAGACAGAAGATCGCTAAGAATGAGGCAGAAATGTCAAGAGGTGTTAAGGTTGTCACCAATTTTTATTAAGAGATATTGTATTACAGTTCTTACAGATTCTGAACACATCTTAATTTAATTCTTTGCTATGAAACAGCTGGTGGCCGAACTGGAAAGAATCAGGTCAATCCTTGAAGAAGAAACTGGTCGAGTAGCTAGTTTCAGTAGCTGGGCAGAAGCTGCTGGAGTTGAACAGAAGGAGTTGCAGCACCACTTGCATTTTGGTTGGTATTGCAGGGATGAGCTTCTGAAAAGCACACGGTCCTTAGTCTTGTATTTGGCAAGAAACTACAGGGGGCTTGGAGTGGCATTTGAAGACTTAATTCAGGTTAGTGAACCAAGTCTTAGCGAAATACCTTCATCAACTCTTCATTCCCATTTTAGCCATAGAGGTGGTAGCACGATTGCACCGTACTGCTTGAATTCCCAATTTTCTATTATGTTAGAAAGTAGAACTTTGGAAATTGATATGCAAGCTTACCATCTGAATCGCCTTTAAGAGCTCCACCATATGTTGGAAATCACTTTGCTCTCCTGATGCAACCCTTTTGCATCAAGTTGCTTGCACATAGTAAAGAACAAAAGCAAGATATTCACAATTAAATCAGGATAATAGAAACTCTCTTAGGCACAATCCTTATCATAGCCAGGAAAATAACCACCCCAAAAAGAAACAAAGAAGGGCACTCAAGGGTGTGGCCTAGTGGTTAATGAAGTAGGTTGAGAACCATGAGATCTCAGGTTCAAATTCCAGCGGAGGCAAAACCACTAAAGGATTTCTTCCCATTTGTCCAAGCCTTGGTGGATAGTTTTAGGTACATGTGCTAGTGGGAGGTAGCAGGTATCCTGTGGAAATAATCGAGGTGCACGCAAGCTGAACCGGACACCATGTCCACTCTTATAAAAAAAAGAACAAGGATGCTCATACTGTCGTCATACCTTTGAATGTGATTCAGCACAGAAAACCAACCCAAATTACTCAATAAGGAAAAAGTGCATCTTTTCAGGGAGAGGTCATGCTGATATAAATATATGCGATAATGTTTAAGGACCCTAACATGACAGAAAAAAGAGAGTCAGATGTGAACATTCTCCATGAATGGCCAGAAACTAGACTATGAAATAATAGTCCGTTTCTCTTTTATCAGATATGAAGGATCTCCATGAATGCTCTAAAACTATGCCATCATAGTCTGCTTCTATTTTAACAACTTCCATACAGATGTTGACCCTCGCTTTGCAATTACTAGATTGGTACTAAGACTATTTCCTTACTAAATTGTCTGATGATAGTTCTTCCAAAGTATTTTTCAAGTTTTCCCTTCATGCATATACAAAGATATATTGTTAGTATACACTACTGCAAGTATATGTCAATAGAAGGAAGTACATACCTATCGCTAGCTTAAAGTATATGATTATCTAGTAACTAGCTAGACCGGGTTAAAGAGGAAACTACTGAATGATGGATGCTATTTTTCATTTTGGAAATCATAGTAGCTGAAATATTTACTTTTTTTATCTTTTAATTGTGTTGCTACAGGCTGGGAACATGGGTGTGCTACAAGGTGCTGTAAGATTTGACGACACTAGGGGATACAAATTCTCAACTTACGTTCAGTATTGGATAAGAAAATCATTGTCAAAATTGGTGGCCCAGCATGCTAGAGGGATCCGAATTCCCGTATGTAATTTCCTTTCTGGGATATTTTACTCATCTTCTTTCAGTTTCATGTAGGTATAACAAAACTTTATCTCTTTTTCTTTTCAATGGATTCATGCAGTTCACTATATGCAAAGCAATAAATCAAATACATAAGGCTCGAAAAGCTCTCAGTAGGAGCCATGGAAAATTTCCAGGTGATAATGAAATTGCCAAGTACACGGGTCTATCTACGGCTAGGATTGCAATGGCTAGTAAATGTCTGAGAGTTGTGGGTTCAATTGATCAGAAAGTTGGACATTGCATCAGTGCAAAAGTTTTGGTAAAAATCTGATCCTCCTTTTTTCTTTTCTTCTCCTCTTTTCTTTGTTTTTCCTTTTTAACAGTTGTGTTTATACCCTTTGATTTGGAAACTTTGAAATACCTATATTTGTTTCTCGACTAGTTTTGGGATAGAGGATAGTCGTTTTTTTGTTGTAAGTTAAGACGTGATGTCAAACTGTGCCAGTTGGAATTATAATGAAGGAAATGCCTTTCTAGTTTGGTTTATGATCTATTGAGAAATACACTCATATGACGTAGTGATAAGACAGCTTGCAAAACGCGAATAAACTTATTTCTTCTCACACCATATTCTTTTTTTTTATGGTAATTCTTCTTGCATCATGTCTTCGTTTGGAAAAAGTAGAAATGTACCTTAAGCACTCTATGATAATTCATTATCTTTAACAACTAGCCTTTCCCGCTACCATTTTACTTTTTGGACATCACTCTCTTCTAGATAAGTATCTTAATTTCCATGCTAACCTTTTACCTTTTGGACATTACTATCTTCTGGAAAAGTATCTTAATGCTATTGAATCATTACGTGGCAGGAACTCACACCAGATAAATCAATTGTAAGCCCGGAGGAAACTGTCATTAGGGAAGACATAATAGACAACATGTATGCTCTTTTGGAAAGCTTGGATCCAAAAGAGCAGCAAGTAATATATTTTAGGTTTGGTCTTGAAAATCATCAGCGCAAATCCCTCGAGGAGATTGGGAGGCTTTATGGAGTAAGTAAAGAGTGGATTAGGAGAATAGAACGAAGAGCTCTCACAAAATTGAGAAGCGCGGATTGTTTCCAAGATTTAACTCATTACTCTGTATAGTTCAGACATTGCGTAGCCATAAGCATTTGTATTTACCAATTTGTAAACTTGATCGATCTCAGAGTAAATGTTTCTTGTATACTTCTTATCTGTAGAGTAGTCATATACCATCAGAACCTTGTATTGTTTACATCTTGTAAAGTTTAAGGACGTGATAAATAAATTTACTTCATTGATTGTCAGCATCAGCTATCAGATGACTAATTTCTATCTCTATAGTATGTATTTGTACCATAAATGACAAGCTGGCCAACAACCTGGCTTTTAGATGGTAACTCAGAACTTTGAATCAGAGACATTTATGCATTCAACTCAGTGATGGTTTCTATATTTAAGGTCCCAAATAGTTTTGTACAACTGGACTCTCAGCAATTTGTGATATCAGAGTAATGACACTGATTTTGATGTCAAAAGTATATACTCTTAGGATTTTACCCACGTTGCAACATAACAATGGCTCTATCTATAGAATGTTTCCATATTTCAAGATCTTGTAGTTGGATGATTCACAGTGTGTTGGTTACGGGTCCGACCAAGCTGGTCTTAGCTTTATATTTGTTTTAAGAAATTTATTGAGTATGTACAAATAATTAATTCAGAACTTAGTAACTTAAAAAAAAAACTAGAATTTCGAACCTATAAGCTTCAAATTTGGCTCCGCCCTATCTTCAAGTTCTAACACTTAAATCTTCTTCAAGTTTCTTAACAGTAACATTTTTTTGGCATGTCTCAGACTTAAAATGTATCATTAAAGTGTCTCTTATTAACAGTTTAAACTTTTAAGTATACATAATCAACATGATATTAGGACAAGCAAAGAATCTATATTCTCACTGTCACCCATTTGCAAAAAGTATATTCACATGCTTAAAAAAAAAAAAAAAAATCATACTTATACATGTAATTGCTTGTTGCACGCCCAAAGTGAAAGTTTAAAGTATCCCTTTAATTCAAACAACTTCACACTCTTTTGGGGTTTGTCACCTACACTTCTAATGCAGATTAGTATTTACTAGGACAAAATAAACAAGCAAAAGAAGTTTTAAATCTGCTAATTGGTGTTTATTGTTAAAACTATATCCTTATTACGTTCTTTCAAAAGTCATCCATTTGATAGAATGATTGCTTCTAGATTTGGTCCAGATGAAATCAAGAAGAAGGAGACAATCTTGGATTATGGCCAAACCATGCCCACTAACTTTTATGCTCTTGGGAATTGTTTGTTTCCATGGTTTTCTTTTAATTAAAAATAATCATGATTTGACGAGCATACCCTCAATTTATATTAGTAGTTTTTTCTTTAATTTTTGTTTACTTCTAAAATCACAATTTAATAACTTTAGTTATAAAAATATTTGTCTAAAATAATATTTATCTCTCTTGAATATTTCACTTAATTAATACTTCACTAATTGGAGTGAATTTGAAAGAATAATAATAAATGCACTTATTTTTTTAAAGTATGATTAGGAATATTTATTTACGATAACATATGCATTTGATAGTAGGAAAACCCACATTAAGTTTTTAAAAAATTGGAAGTTTGCTCCCCTCTCGTTCTCTAAATATGTTTCCTCCTAAGTATTCATATCTCTTAATCAATTAAAAATATTTCCAGATTACCACTTCTTTCATTTTCTTTCTTTTTTAATTTAAAGATGGATGAGCTAATATTTTCTCTAAAGTGAGGTCCCCTACAAATGGAAATTGTTTCTTTTATTTCTCTTTCGAAAATTTCATAGATAGTGCTGTATAAGATAAGGATAATCCCATTATGACACAAAGAAATTATGAAACTATTAAGTCGTAGTCACAATAATTTCAATGTACGATTTAGTACTTTGGTTTTTGTAAGGTTGTCAAAAAGGTCCATCTGATTATCACTTTACAGGATATCTTGAAAGGAAAGGCAACAAAGTTGAGCCGTAACTTGCCTTGGCTAAAGTTGATCACTTTCAAAAGGACTGAAAGTTTGATCCACTAAAAATGAGAGGCTCTAAGTGAAATTTTTAGAAGATAAGACAACAGCTATGGGTTTAAATATGCCAAGTCTTCATCTTTCCATAGAGACAGATAGGGGTGAAATTGTAAAATTGAGCCTGTCAATTCAAATTCTTTTTTCCGTGTTTAGTTAGTATTTGCATTTTGCATTAAGGTTCCGACTAATCTGATTTCACGTCACATGGGACCAATTAAAGAACAAAGCGCGTTTTACCAAAATCTTTTAATACGCAAGGTTCGAATTAGCTACCTTCGATTAAGCGTGGAGGAAATATCACAATTCTTGGTGGTCCCGTCAACCGAGGCGGATTTAGGCCCTTTTTACGGTGCAAAACTCATAGTATTTTCGCAACATAAGATATTTTATATAGATATTTCGTAAAATTAATCTAATATTATCTGTTAACACTTATGTTTCAAGAAGATTGAATGGTGTAATTTGTTGATTGCTAAATTATTTATCCCAAGATCTAGTTAATCTTGTTGGTTTAAGTATCAACTTCAAATTCAATACTTTATCAATAATTTACGATTTTGACACCAAAAGCCAAAAATCATCAACTCATCGGTGTAGAAAAATGTAAAACAAGAATAAAGATTTTTGCTGTATGACAATGGATATACTTTGAGGGGAAAAAAGAAAGTGAAAGATATTTGGACATATATATAATTAAACAAGTACCTTTCGCAAAAGAATAGACTGTATTTGATAGGTGACGAAATGTACAATATTCATATTTCATAATCCAAAATCTCAAACATTACAACTCTTAAATCACATATTTTATTCGCGAATTATTTAAAACTGTTTACCTCGAAAATACAAATAACAATTAAATTTTATTTGTGGTTTTAAAGATATGTGATTTAGTTCAATACTAATTAATAATCAAGAAGTATAACATATAAATGAAAGAAATGAGTAAATCAAACCAGTGTTGCTAGGCAGTATCGATCTCGAGCCAAAGTGATCTCGAGATGGATCAAGAACAATAAAGCAAGAATAATAAAGCTAAAGGACAATTCTGATGAACAATGAGTGAAAAAGTAAGATAGTATATTCTTTGTCAATGATTAGATGATGTTTACAAATTATTGAGGTCTCTTTTATATAATAGGGAAAACCTAAATAAGGTACATTTCTATTTACAGTAAAGAATCTTATTGGGACATCTATCTAACCGCCTAGTACGGATTCGTACAAATTTATTCTGGAATTTACGCCATGATCTTGGGGACGTGGCAGGAATCTTGCTCATTCAGTTACAAATCCTTAATGGCATTATCTCGGGGTTGAGTATACTCGGCTTCGATACCCATCGCGCACTTCGATCCTTGGGCATTGCACTCTGCCTTCGAGCTTGAGTCTAATCCATCGAGCTCGAACTCGACCGTACCTGAATTCGGGTTTAAGGCAACCCCGGAACCCGGAAAATCGAGCATACTTGATTTCGACCGTATACAAAAACTAAATTACAACGCCATCTCAAATCAAAATAAAAGTAATGCAAAAACTATTGAAGAGATTTATAGCTCAAATTTTCTTGCTTAAGGTGCAACAACTCCAAATCGAAATATATAACCATAAGAAAAGACAACAAAAGTAGGTGCACATAGATATTTTACCTTTATGCAACGTCAATTTTGGACTATTCAAACAAACAATCAATATTTTCTTATTTTATCATTTTTTATCAATCATGTTATCTTAAATCACTATATATAGCTACTTCTTTCAACTTCATATCAATGCTACATTGTCCTTTTGTTGGAACAATCAATATGACAATTTAGATTTAACATAAAGAAATTTAGAACAGAAACCCTTTCAATTTCAACACATTCTTTTCGCTGCACACTTATTTAATTGAAAAAGAAATATACATCATAGACGACATATCTTTTGATTAAAAGCTATTCTAGTTGAGATATATCATTTTGAAGAATGAGGACATGTGTAAAAGAGAGTCACCATCACAAGTTGAAAACTTAAATTAGAAACGACAGTTGTAAAAATTAGAAATGCAAAGACACAATCTTGATACTATTGGAACAAACATGTATATAGTACACGAAAGAGTCGTAGAGTTTTATCATTGATTAGGAGATTGAAAATATTTGTTGCACAATTATTTATTTTCAAATTACAGTATTCGACAAACAATATAAATCTTTGACTGTTAGAAGGCAACATTCACAATCTAACACTTAACCCACGGTCCAAGCTTAATTATAGGAAGATACCAAATATTGTATAGTAAAATCTTCCTCTTCTTGTGTTGGTGGTAAGTAATAAATACTCAATGAAATTGCGGACAAAATGCCTGAACACCACCGTCATCAAAAGAAAATAAATAGTTCATCACAATCACAACTAGAAGAAGAAGAAGAAGAAGAAAAGGCACTCAGTAGCCCCAAGGGAACAGGTAATTGAGCAATCGTACGCTAGCTAGGACCTGTTTTTCTCTACTCGAAACCATTTAATAAACATATACTATCCCCCATTTCTATTTGGCCTAAACTAACAATAATAAATTAAGATATTTAATTTGTCAAGGCGCAATTGGAGTGTTCTATAGTTAATATTTCACATACTCCACATAGTAATTTTTATGTTTATATATTTGCTTGATGTGATAAACATAAAATAAGAAAAATAAAGTGCATATTTAATTGGAGAAGAGAAATGTGATGATATTTAATTGATGCGAAGGAGTTATATGTTGAAGACGGCACAACGAATCAAGATATTTCTCCAATTAAACACCTAAAGAGTAAATCTGATTGTGTTTTCCTATAAGAGATAATTGTCTTAGATAAGTGTGAGCTTGAGAGAAGGAAAAAAATTAGTATTATTTAATCCTCCAGATAGTGCCACAAGTAGGTTTGTTGGCTGAAGAGGATTAAGTTCCAGAGGCTGTTTGGGAAGCCATAGGGACGGGGAAAAAATATTTGCAGGAATCACACTGCTTTGCTACTAAATTAGAGAAGAAAACTGTGATTATAATGGCTCTCTCTTAACAAAGACTATTTGCTATTCACATATATATAGCATTTACATAGAGTATTTGAATTACATAAAATTATATCTAACCAAGGGTATCTCCTAAATAACAGCTAACTAATATTCAAAGGATAGTTCAAAGCATATTGAAATAAGATTACGAGTGTTTGTCCTTAA